AAAAAAAACACAAAAGAGCATCTCGTAGTGTGGCTGGGCCACGGTCAAAATGCCTTGGCCACGCCCGGGTAGGAAACAACAACAACAACAACAACAACAACAACAACCACGTGCCTGACTAAACTGCAATTACAAACTCCGCGGTGTGACTTTTCTGCAAAGTGGAGTTTCAACTGCATTTGAAACTCGGGCCCTGACTAGACTGCAGAAACCCTGTTCGGAATGCATTTTGAAACTCAAACCATGACTGCGCCCTAGTTTTCTCATAAAAGAAAGAAAGAAAGAAAGAAAAGGATTCTTACCTTCGTAGCCCAGGCAGCAGTTTACCCCCTACTTGAACACATCTCTATGCTCGTGGTAGACGGCAACCACCTCTGTTTCTTTCAAGTTGCCATGATACCCGTCTTGCAACCGTGGACGCAAGCATGTGCACAACCAACCCCTTCACCGAACCCAATGTTCCTTGACTTCCACCACCGCATCAAAAAAAAAGAAAACCAGAACCACAGTACCAGGGGGGTGATGTGAGCGTCCTCCCCTAGTAAGGGTTCTGGGTTCTCCAGTCTATTGGTGGGATTCTGCTGGAAAGCGGGTCCAGCGTCCCCTTGGATACAACAATATTTTGAAATACTGAGAGACATTGTGGAATTCCCTGTCAGCATTGACTACCCCAGAGGAACTGGGGGGCTCACTGAGCACACGTAGGAGTAAGGATTGTATCCAAAAACAGACCTCTGTTTCGTATGACACTTATGGTGGAGGCTACGTGAAATACCTCTTCGCCCATCTGAGGGGCGCCTGATCCGCAACAATCAGCACTGGTGTGATACCTGCAGCCACCTTGAGGGACATCCTATCATACTTTTTTTTTTTTTAAACATACCAACTCTTCAAATCCAGACCATACCAACTCCAGTGTACCAGGTGGAGCCTACTTGAACTACCTCTTCACCCGACTGTGGGGTGTCAGATCTGTAGATGAATACTGGTAGAACTCCTGCCGCCAACTTTGTGAGACAGAAACAAACACCTGTTAGTAAGTCCCCAACCGCTTCTCCTAGTGTAAACCATACCAACTCAATGGCTCCAAACTCAAAGAGGATTGAGGGGAAGGATCAGGAAAATATGAGGGAGGTCGAAGAGGTATCGCAGGATCCAACTTTGTCCAAGCAGAATAGAAGACAATGGTCTCTTTTAAGATGTTCCTAACGTCCTTCTTCACCCTCAGCTCCATTCCACTTAATTTCTCCCAACTTCCCCCATGAGGTCCACCAAGCTAGGCGCCACAAAATTGTTTGACGTGATGAAGAGCCAGAAATCACCGAACAGATTCAGCAGCAGGTACACTTCGAACTCACACAAAGATGGCTAGACACAAAAGCACAGTTATACCTCCTTAAACAAGTAGAAGATGTCAGGAGACGGATCACAACATTTTGCACAGACTGGGTGGGAGGGGAGAGAGAGGGATGGATTGCAAGAGTAGAATGGAGCGGAGACAGGGGAGAGGGACAGAGGGAGTTGGAAGAGATGAGAGACTACCGCTTAAGCTTCAAGGACTGGACAAACATTGAACCCTCATTTCCACTTCGCCCCCCCTTGGATTTTCCAGACCCTTTCCCACCCCATGCCCTTTCCCTGGTAGAAATCCTGTCCTGTGATAAGCTCAGATCCGTATCCCTGAGGAAAAATCCCGCGGCTTGCCGTATCCCTGAGGAAAAATCCCGCGGAAGCCCCGAAGTACGGACACGGATAGAAAGGGGTTTTTCCTTCTTTTTGCTTTTGTTTTCTTTTTGAAACGGCTTTTTCATTTTGTTTGGTTAATAACTCCCGCGCGGGCGAATAGCGGCCGCGGTATGAAAAGCAAGAAACGGTTTCGGTTGGAACCTTTTTTTTTTGAATTTTTGCGCGCGCGCCTAAGCTCCGACTTCTTCGCGCGTCTCGCACCCCCGTTTCTTGTTTTGCATCCCCGCGCCATCTTCCCTTCTTGCTGCGCGCGTTTTCCCCATGCAGGACTCTTCGTCTTCCCCTCCGCCCAGCTCGATCCTTACTCCGCGAAGTGATTGGCCGCGTAGTTGGGATGCTCAGATCAATGTGGAGAGCGGGAAACCGCGCACCACTTGAACGGACACCCCAATCATGCAGGACCATGCCATCCCGCGGGTCGAACCCTCTAACTCCCCACCTCCCTCCTGTCCTGCTCATCTACAACCTGCGCTGCCCGCACCTCGCGCTGACAACCCGCCGCCTCCCGCGCTATAAATTCGCGCAACCCTCTCCTCTCTCTCTTTTTGATCTCGGCTGCAATGCTGCGCGAGCTATGCGCTAAGTCCGCGGCGCCGAACAGGCTCGACGAGCCCAAGGACGGGCGGAGTGACGACGCGGGGTGGACCTGCGATAGTCTTGGGGCGACGCAGTCGGAGGTATTGAGCAGTGGTGGGGATTGGACGCCGACCGCGGCAGGGCCTTGTGGCTATGGTGGTCGGTGGTCTTGGGAAGTTTTGAAGGCGGCGCCTTGGGGCAGCCGCTAATTGAGAATTTTTGTGTACAAGAAGAACCCGCTTTTATCTCCATTGCTGCTTTGTCTATGCATGACGTGTGTGTAAAGCCCCGAGTGATGGGAGCTGGTTGTGCTCATGAGTGATGTCGACGGTCTTTGGATGATTGGATGTCCTTTCAAGGGTTGTTGATTGCATGCATGTATGTGTGTATGTACTTATYCGGGCGGGGACGGGGGAACCGAACTGGAGGACCGTCTGCTAAGGAGTATGAGTGTGTTGATCCTGTTGTTCCCSTCCCCTCTGCGGCCTTTCCTGYGCGCACACGCAGTCTCGGTGTAACTCATTCTCTCTCTCTCCCTCGCCTTTCTTTTTGAACTGATAGTCATCGCTTTTGGAACTTCTCATCCCCGTACCGGTGACGTCAACCGCCTGCGTCCGCGCGCGCAGTCGACGCCCCCGCAAGGGGAAGAGAGCCTTGGCTCCGCCATCTTCCTCCGACGCACTAACCCTGAGAGAGAAGGTTGCATCGAGTGTTGTATGGAGTCAATGTTGGTTTGGATGACCGGGAGCGCGGGATCTTGCCCGTGTTCATCGCCTACCTCCGATCGTCTCATCTCGCTACCGACCTTCCCCATCACAGATGACGACTGCGTCTACTGCAATGCGGACGTACGGCGCGCGCTGAGGCGAACGGAGCCCGTGTGTTGGCGAGACCCGCCTCGGGCTTGTGATATAAGGGGGAACGGGTTTGTCTTGATTGAGCATTTTGATTCCCCGACTCTAATATTGCCTTATACGGGTTTGACTGTGTTGCCCTGGTCGGCTGCTCACGCCGCGTGGCGGCCGCAGTTTGATTGTCGCAGGTGTCACTAGGGGGACTCATGTTCTTGGCGACGGCTGGTCCTGGGCTACGAGGGAGCGACACGTTTCCCCGAGCTTTCCCGTAATGCGGGGGCGCTGCCCGCGCAATTTCGAATTCGGATGCCGGCGAGTCCTCCCGCCGTTTCGCCCTCTCGGAAACTTCCTCGCGGACTTTGCGAGTCCGACGCCGAGGCCTGAAGGCTTCGAGCCCACCACCTATCCCCCGAACCCATGACGGCCGGAGTTTCTGTCGTCCGCCGCCATGGCCCCCTCCCCTTGATGCCTTTTTTCGTCCTGATGCACGGCGGCAATTCCTTTTCGTGGAAACCCTTTTGATTTTATCGTTTCGGAGTGATCCGACCCCCACGGGACTTCGCGACGACAGTTTGACTCCGGGAAAACCTCTGGGACGAAACGAGGGTCTCCAGTTCTGTCCGGGAGACTCAACCCTCACGGCCAAAAATCCTCGGCCATGCCCCTCCTAGAACTCTGATCGGCGACCCAGTACGGGAAGCTGCGAGGGGGCGTGAGGTTGGTATCAGAGCTGATTCGTTTCGGCTCCGAGGTTTTCCTAGGACGAATATCCTGCGTAAGAGTTTTCCTTTTTTTTCTGATCTTTCTTTTTAGATTTTTCTCATTTTTTAGTAGGCTGGCTCCCCGTCGCCGGCGGCCCACGAATAGCAATCAGAACCGAGCGAGAGGCCGGGCTCGAAACGCGCCTCCCACGATGGTGGAACCCGGAATTGGGGATGAAAACGACGGTGATAACCACGCGGGGATGGCCAATCATCCCCTGTACTTTGTACCTCCTCCTTCCGAAGTTCCCATTTTCTCCGAAGATGATACCGACCCTCGCACCTGGCTAGCTGCCTTGAAAGCCCAAGGCTGGTCGGACCAGTTGCTCCGAGAACGAATCCCCGGAAGGTTAGCCGGAACCGCTTTTGAGTGGTATGGACATAACCCCTTCACTAATTGGCTAGCCTTCCAGAGGAAATTTCTCGACAGATTTGATCACATCGCACCAGGTCAATGCCTCCATCTAATAAACGAATACACGCAGCAGCCTCGGGAGACCTTGGCTAGATATGCTAAACGTTTTACGTACCTAGCCGAACGCTCCGGGGTGGACAAGAAAATGATACGGACTGATTTCGTCAGAGGATTGTCAGATTCTCGTCTGCGGAAAAAGATCCGCAAGAAATGCAACCCTATAGAACATACCCTGACAGAGCTAATTCAGTACGCAATTAAGTACGGGAAAAAAAATTACGATGTGGGCCTGGACGCAGAATCCGACGAGGATGACCCTTCGGGGGTTCGACGCAATAGCTACTCCGCAACGACACGAATGTTCGAAGATCGCTTCGGGTTGGGTCCGGCAAAAAAAGGCTTGGATCGGAAAGCTTCTTCCTCTGCTTCGACCTCCCGTCGCTCTAGTCAAGCACAAGGAGGCCGGGGTGAGGAAGAAGTGTCCATGAAAGAGGTCGAGGCCCAATTACGGAGTTTGTTCAGGGCCTGCAGCGGCAACGCCTAGCCGCCGCACAACGGCAACAAGCATCTATGGCCGCCGGAGCCCCTATAATAAGACCGGTCGTGGCCGGGGCTGTCCCGCCCCTACGCTGTTATAACTGTAATCAGTCAGGTCACCTTGCGAAAGATTGTCCGAAACCTCGAACTCAGGGCGGGCCCGCTGGGCCTTCCCAAATCCCGCTGGCTGCTCCAACCGCTGCAGGACAGGGGAGGGTGGCCACGGTGATGGATACCGGGGCAACGGAAATGGTGACCCCTGTGGCCACCGAGATAGGGCCCGATGAATACATGGCTACGGCGATGTTCAAACCCGGGACCATCGGAGTGATACGTCACGTCCAACGGATTACCGAGGAAAGCGACCTCGGGCCGTGGCGACCAGGGTTCGAAGACCTTGCGGCACCTGGTCGTGAATACAAGGATGGCCATATCGACGTATTCGATGCCTTGAAGGCTCTGGATCTTCGGATCCCCGTCCCTATTCCCTATCTGCTAACCATTTTCGAAGCGGCTAACGAAAAGTTGATCGAACGATGCCTCAAAAACAGGCGCCGATTCGAGGAAAGTCGAAAGGGCAAAAAGTCGGTCCTACGGGACCTACCCACAAACGAGGAGTCGCAGCCCTCGACCTCAAAGGTGCACGAAGCCGACCGGATAGGAATGATCCAGACCGTAGACTCTGCCTCGGGAAAACCCGAGGTATTCCTCTGAGCCTATCCTATGACCTGGAAAAGCATTGAGTATGACTGCGAGGTCTGGGGAAATCCCTCAGCCGCCATCCTAGACTCAGGATCGTCAGCGGTCGCCATTTCTTGGAGATTGACGAAACAGTTGGGAAGGGAAGGACATGTTCAGCCCCTCCGACCGGATGAACTGTATATATCCGCTACGGAAGACAGTATTCATTGTAAAGGGCGAATAACGAACGTGCCTATACGGGTGGGGCGGGTGCATTGTTTGTGCGCCGTAATCGTGTTGGATGTACAGGCGTACGATGTTCTGCTAGGAATTCCGTGGCAGGCGGCGGTCGGAGCGCGAATGCACTTTGACAGCTCTAAGGTGGTGCTCACATCGGCCCACCCCAAACCTCAAACGATACCAATGAGACTGGCGGTGCGCATGCGCACCCAGCCGGCGCCTCGACTCACCACGAAAGCCCATCAAATGAACATGATCCGATCCGACGGAAACTGACGAGACTGATGTACCCGACCGATATCCGATCCGAGTTCAGGATCGGTGGCGCCATTCTTGGCGGCGAGAACCACTGAAAATAGTTCGGAGCGAGTCCAATTGGTCGCACACGTTCTCCTCCGTGGTGCAGGGGGAACCCCTGCTGAGGGTGTCCCGAATAGCTGACCTTTCGGAACCCCCTGCGTCCTTGTATCTCAGGACGGACCCCCTACCTGAAAGATTTAAAGAGCTTAGGGGGCTGTGCGATTTATCTTTTCGACCTCCACGGCCCCTACTCACGAATGAAAAAGTCGCAATACTCCTGAAAGAGGGGGTGTCGTTTCAACCCTGAACAAGAGAATATCGGTACGGGCCGAGAGAACTGACGCAGGCCTTTTCGGTAGAACCCTCGGCCGAACCCGAACTGGACAGTGACAGTGACATGGAAAGCGAGCCGGTGAGTCCGCTGGACAGTCAACTTATTGCGACTGTCCTTTCGGCGAAAACCGACAACTCTTTGTTTGGGGCCTCGCCCGATGCCAGCGCGGCGGTCCCCACGGTTACGACGACGGTCTCCCTTCCTGGGGGAACCGTAGAAGTTCAGTTACCAGCCCGTGTTCCGGATGAATACAGACGCCTCCTCCTGGCGGTTATACGGGCCTATCCTGAGGCCGTCAGTATTCAGGACCACGACATAGGGCTAACCCCTTTGATATAGCACACGATTGATACCGGGGATCACGCCCCCGTACATTGCCGACCGTACCGATATTCCCTTAAAGAAAGACAGCTGGCGTTGGAAAGGGTATGGGAATTGGAGCGGTTGGGGTGGGTCGAACCATCGCTGGGACCGTGGTCTTTTCCCGTGGTCCTCGTGCCAAAACGAAATGGTTCGGTCCGGGTATGTATCGACTACCGAAAATTGAACGCTATCACTACCAAAGATGTGTATCCCTTGCCGCGAATCGACGATTTGTTAGATGCTATCGGGGCCGCGCGAGTCTTTTCCAAGTTCGATATCCGACACGGTTTTCACCATGTCGCAGTCCGACCGGAGGACCGACCCAAAACCGCTTTTGTCCTATTTGAGGGCACGTGGCAATGNCGACACGGTTTTCACCATGTCGCAGTCCGACCGGAGGACCGACCCAAAACCGCTTTTGTCCTATTTGAGGGCACGTGGCAATGGGTCCGGTGTCCCATGGGAATTTGTAACGCCCCTGCAACATTTTAGCGGGCCATGAATATGGCCTTTGCTGAGTTCGTTAACAAAACCCGACTAACCCAGCCCCTGATCAATTTCTGCGTGATTGTGTACATGGATGATATTTTGGTCTTTTCAAAAACACACGAGTACCACGTGGAACACATTGAGTGGGTTTTGCATGCACTAAAGAATGCGGGGTTCAAAGTGGCCTTGGAGAAAAGCGAGTTCTTCTTGTCGGAGATCTCATTCTTGGGGTACATCGTCACAGTCGATGCACTAAAACCGGATCCGAGGAAGGTGGCAGCAGTTCAAGAAGCATCGACGCCGGTCACACTCACCCAGGTTCGGGCTTTTCTAGGGCTGGCATCCTATTACCGCCGCTTCATCAAGGGGTTCGCCGGTATAGCGAAGCCCCTCACGAACCTGCTGAAGAAAGTGGAACAGTTGATCTGGACGCCGGAATGAGAAGCGGCGTTTCAGGCGTTGAAGGAGGCTCTGACATCTGCTCCTGTGTTGGCGCGTCCCGACCCGACAAGACCGTTCGCACTGTACACCGACTGGCAGCCTCAGGCGATATCGGCGGTGCTGACTCAGCACGGGGCGGACGGAAGGGAACACGTCATTGAGTATGCGTCCAAGACGCTGAGCCAGGCGCAGGCTAATTACGAAGCGTGCAAAGGCGAATGCCTGGCGGTGGTGTGGGGAATCCAACATTTCCGACCATATCTTTACGGCCAGAAATTCGTGCTGGTAACGGATCACCAGCCGCTGCTGTCCCTACGCAACAACACGGACTACACGGGGACGTTGGGCAGGTGGGCATTGCGTCTGCAAGACTATGACTTCGACATCCGCCACCGTGCCACGTGGCAGCATGGTAACGCTGATGGATTAACGCGCCTCCTGCCGCCCAACAAGTGTCCCGCCAACGAGCGACTCATTCCGTGGAGGCCAGAAGTCGCGGCGACGAAACCGCACTACGGGGAGCTACACGTGCTGCGCAAGAACGACGCCTGAGTCCGGAATGGAGGTTTCGCCGGAGATGGCAAACGCTATCTCGTTGCCCTCATCCAACTCCCTCGCTTTCTCGTCTAGTCCCTACTCGTCCCCTGATTCACATCTAAGTCCTTGTTTTTTCTGTACCTTGCCTATGGTCCCGGACCAAGAAGGGTCACATCCGGGGGGAGGGCCCAGTTTTCTTTTGTGGGTGCAGTGTAGTCGGTGTCAAGCGGTCAAGTCCCACGGACAATGCGTTAGGTACCGAAGTGAAAAGAAGTGGGTCTGTCCTAACTGTAGAACGGACCAAGTCCCTACCGAGAAACGGTATCTGGATGCACGAACGGCCGACGGATTTGCGCCAAGTGTCCGCCGGGCAGAGTCTGGACGGACCTTCTGTTGCTACGGAGGCTGCCAGGCGACTCGCTGTCAGAACTTACCAAAGCCAAGCGGCGGAGAGTCACGGAGCGGGCACAGGACTATCACTGGCAGGGACCGACGTTACAAAAACGAAAAGTCGATGATGAAGGAGGGTCTAGCTGGTTGACGGTTCCGCACCCTTTCGCTAGGTTCGATTGGACACGAGCCGCTCATGAAGAGGATGCAATCCATTTCGCGGTCAAGTACACGGAAAAAGCCATCGAAAAGAACGGATGGTACTGGTCGGGAATTCGGGAAGATGTGAAATACACCGTTCAGAATTGCCCGGCCTGCGCGGCGGACAAGGCGTCGGTACAGATGCCTCGAACGATGGTGCCCACTCGTGTAGAGCGCCCCTTTCAGAGGGTTAGCATCGACACGACGGATATCAACGTTCCGAGAGGTCCCGTCGATCAGGGAGAGCTCAATGTTCTTTTAGTGGCCGTCGATTATTTTTCGAAATGGATAGAGGCGTACCCTATGACCAGCCGGAATTCGCAGGAAGTAACTTGGTACGTAAATCGATTTTTGTGCATGCATCTAGACGTAGAAGAGGTACACATGAACAATGGGTCGGAATTTCAAGGCGAAGTAGAACGTCACCTAGTCAGGGCGGACGTTAAGATTATCTACTCGTCGGGGCATTGGCCTCAAGCCAATGGCCTGGTAGAGAATGCCAACCGACTGATTAAGACCGCCCTTAGATGGAATATCACTGCGGGAGACACCCGGCCCTGGCCGGTCATTGTCGACCACATCTTGGCCGTCTATCGGGCTACCCCACACGGTAGTACTGGGGTGTCCCCCTTTCAACTGAGAACCAATAGTGTCCCTCGGGTGCAATTGTCCCCTTTAGTAGGTACGGAAGTTAGAGCAACACGGGCCCAAAACCGAGATAAGGCCCGCCACTACATAGACTTAATGGCTAGGGCCTATCCCCCGTTAGCTCGCCGTCGACAGCAGGCCGTAGATCGGACACATCAACGGCAGATCCGTGACTACGAGAATCGACACGCGTCGGCGGGACCACTGCCCCGCTATAAAGTTGGGGACTTGGTGCAGGTACGGAAATCTGCGCGCTCCTCCAAGATCCACCCGCGCTACACAGCTGGTGCACAGGGACAGCACTCCGTGAAGCTGATTCCCCGTCACAACTCCCAAGCCCGACCACTGACACGGCACGCTGCCGCGCTCCGGCCCTTCCAGCCATCGCTAGGTCCCCTACGGACCCCCGCTCCTGCGAGATCACCCTCTCCTTCTTCATCCTCCTCCTCTTCCCGATCTGCCTCGTCCATTGGTGCTGAGATTTTCAGGGAGCAGGATGAACCATCACCAGCCGGAGCATGAACCCCTCGAGCATTTCCAGACGCCGCTTGCAGATCGCTTGTTGCGGCATCGGTTCAATGAGGAAAGGAAGTTGCGGTACGACATTCAGCAGGTGAACGTGCCAGCGCCCGGGGTTGTTGATTTGGCGGCGTACTCGTTGCTTTGCAATCGGCTGACGTATGCGGGGGTGTACGTGGATGTGACGCAGTTGCCTGGCCGGGAGACGACTCGAGTATTCATTGAGTTCCGCGTGCTCCAGGTGGCACCCAACTTCGTGCACAGCGTCGCCGCCTTTATCGGAGACTTTACGATCCTACCGCAGCCGAATCGGGAGCCGGCGCGAAGCTTTGTGCGCGAATACGCGGTGGAAGCGGCCAGATCAGTGGCCAGATTGCAAGGACGGGGGGGACACCGATTCACAGCTCACGAAGTGCTGCTGCGCAGGGCAGAGGACGGACCAATTGCGTTGGTGCCACAACTCCCCGCGCTTCTTCCTCCCGCTGCTCCTCTCAACTTCCAAGCTATTCCCCGTGTCCCGTACTAAATGCCTCCCTTCTTCTCTTACACCACCCTCCCCTATCAGCTCACGAAGGGCCCTTATCCCATGCGCGAGTTCTCGGAGTATTTGGTGGAGCTCACTAACGTGGAGCCGCTGCCCTTCGCCGACGAAGACGCGTGGGAGTTGCACCGTGCGCTGTACAAGTCGGTGGCGCTGGGGATGTTCCGGTTCTTCGTGGATCACGAAGACCACTACATCAGGGAACACTTCATCGTCTACTACGTCATCACAGGGCCCAAGCCAGCGGAGAAGGAAGGGACAGTGGCGCTGTACCCATTCGCCCAGCTCCAGACGATCGATCCGAGATTGTTGGAGCTCATACATCTTGAGCTCCTCTCCATTGCGCAAGTGATCGCGAGCGAGGAGGAGGAGATCCAACCACGATTGCGGACGGCGACGGCCCCGCGGAGAACGTACAACGCGGTCGTCATCCCGGATTACATTGCGCAGCGCGCGGAGAGGTTGGAGGACTTCCCGGAGGAAAAGTCATTGCAGCCTCCCTCGTCGTATCCTCGACCGGCGCCAGCGAAGGCCCCCAAGAAGACGCCGAAGAGGAGGAGACGTCACCCGTCGCCAGGAGCGCAAGGCAGCAGGATTGGCGGCGGCGAGGAGGTGATTCAGCCCGCGCGTACGCGGAATCCTGACCCCGTGCCTGGGAGTGCGGCGATGCTCGTTAAGGGCACTGTCGTGCCATCGCCGCCCTTTCCGCGTGTGCCCGATCTCAATCTTGATGGAGCCGGGCCATCAGCAGCAGCAGCAGCCGGAGGAGGAAGCCGAATGGGATTTCTGGATCCCATATCCAGACCCCCCGTCCTCGCGGGACCTCTCCGTTCCCGCCAGCCACCCCGGGGTGCCTCGGTCATTGACATTAGTAGTTCCTCCGAGCCGGACGGTCCATCCGACAGAGGTGGACTTCATGGTGGAGCCCGCCACCATCAGGCTCGAGGCCATCGCGGGGGCGCCACGCCCTGATTCGGCATGGGAGCCATATCTGACACCCCCTTTTCAAGGGTGTATTGCGGCGCGATTGGCTGGGACGCTCATCTACGAGACCGGGCAGCGTCCCAATGCGATGTACCACTTCCTTGTCTTCGCGGTGCAGAAGCGGGAGCGGCGACCCTACACCGAGACTCATGTGGTGATGACGGGTCCAGGGCCCCGATCGGTGCGCAAGCGGGTGGTGCGAGCGGTGGCGGATCTGGCGCCACGTGTCCTGTCTCATGTGCCGGGGGCTTTCCTCTATCCCTCGTTCGTGCAGCACCACTTCCAGGAGGAAGATGTGCCGACGACTCCCACGGCGATGGCCGCTTTTCTTCCGCCTATTCCGCCCCCTCTAAATCCCGACATAGATCACTTCCTCTGATCACCCCCGTCTACCTCTCCCCTGTTCTCTCCTTCTCCTTCTCTTTATCGTCTTCTTCTCCTATCTCCAAAGTTCGCGCGTCGAGACGCGCTGTGTA